CAAACGCACTGCTGAGAAATGAGGCAATTTTTTCTGAAGACAATTGTACTTCCAGAACATGAAAGCAAAGAAAGGGTTCATTGTGTAGCTTTGGAAATGCAGTTGTTTCATGAAAAAAGATGAGCTCTAATAATAGTAAAAGTGGCAGAGACCCAGTCTGAAAAAACTCTCAGATCTTACTGTAAACAAGACCTTCATTTTTAATTCAGGCATCTTCCATTTTTAATACAACTCCGCTGCTGCAACAATCTATTTTCTGCTCCTCCATAAAACACTCCATAGCCAAGAAGACTCCCAGCCACCGCCCCAGGACTGCGCTAGGGCAGGGCCTGAAATCACAGGTACTGGCAACAGTGTTGAATGTGTCCAGTTGTAAAGCAAACCACTGTAAAGCTATCACTGACAGGTCACACAAATCATCTGCAATAACTTCTTTTCTGGAACTGAGAACTAATAGGACATCCCAGGAATATAAAAAAAAAAAAAAAAAATTAAAGAGCAGATCTGTGCAGAAAGGTCCCCAGACTCAAAGGCCCTTCCCAAGCTTTACTCTTCACCGATTAAAACATAAAAACCACAGCACTGTGCTCGTTTCTACAAGGCCTTTCTTGCATGAAGTCCATTTTGTTACTGCGCGGCCATCACCTGGCTTTCCAAAGTGGACTACAAGAAGCTGTTATAAGATTTGTGTAAGACGGGCCACAGTGCTGCTGCTTCCTTGTTTAAGAAAAAGGCTTGTTGTGTCAACAAAAAGTTTGTGAGTTCAGATTCATACTTTCTCCTGTGGCTTTTACCACACACTATTAAAGCCTTAGACTGAAAATAGAGCTAATTTTGCCCACCTACTTCACTAACAGTCAGCAATAAGCAGAACAGCTCACGTGCCAAGAGACTCTATACAGCTTCCTCTAGCCATCAGGAAAAACTTAGCAGAAAGTTTCTGAAACCAACCAAAAATGTCCCAGGTAAAAGATCTCCACCCTTGATTTCCAGCCAGCTCTACCAGGTGCTGTCTGGTAAGTATTTTTCAGCCCCTGAATATAAATCCCCAGATATCCAGCTCCCAAGGAAGAGCTGGTAGTCACTCCTGTTTCTCATCTACAGTCATTAGATGGATATCTAGACTAAGTCTTATGGAGGTGGGGTTTTTTTAATTTTTTTTTTTTTTTTAAAGCAGCAGGTTCAGTTTTGAGAAGTACATAGTTTATAGAGAGGTCCCAAGTCAACATGACTTAGGCTTCCAAATATCACTTGCTGTTTAAAAAAAAAAATAAAAAAATAAAAAAATCCAAGCAAAAATCTGAAGAAACCCCTTGCCTTTTTTTCTGCCTAAGGAGAAAGAGGGAATTAACAGCATCTATTTTTAGGCATCAAACCGTTAGTGCCTAGGTAAGCGAGCGACTTGCCTTCTACAGGCAATGCGAGGGAGCCAGGCTGCTGCAGAGCTTGGAGTAGTTGCCCCAAATTGTCTGTGGGAGAGTTTTTCCATCTCATCACGCTCTACTTCACAGTAAACTGGTTAGACTACCAAAGGCCTTTCAATGGACAGGAAATCAAGGTGTCCAAACTAGGTGAACTGGCAGAATGAATACTTACTAGTAGAGTTATCATTGTAATCCCATGCCTCAACAAGCAATGTGTAGGATCTCTGCAAAAGAGAAATAAGAGTTAGTTTCAAAGCCACACATGACTGCAAGAGAAAAATAAATCCCCCACCCCAATAATTTTAATTAAAGAAAAATCCTCGTCTCTGCCCTAAAATGGCATACTTGAAAACATAAATAGGTAATAGATTATACTTGAGACAAACATGATCTTCTTGAAACCCCATAAGCTACCTTATCCAGTCTGACTTAGAAGACCTTTCACCTTGGATAGCTCATCTTTGTCATCATTAATGCATCTTATGTACTTAACCAGGAAGTACAGCCTTTGACACTGCGCTGTAGCCACAATAAAGCACGTGTGGAAGAATTGCGCATGGAAGACAGAAAACACCAGGCCAGCATAGCAGCATCAAAAACACTCAAAATACCAAAACCAAGCCCCCACCCTCAAAAACTGTTTCAAAAGAATTTTAGTTACAGAAAAGCAGTCTTGATGTCCCTTCCCCCAACCATCCTGAAAGCAAGAAGTGTTGCTAAGATTACTGTGCTCTGCCTCTACAGCACAATCTCCAGGGACTTTGCTTTTCAGCACCCCCTTTGAAAGCTTTGTCTGCATGAGGGCCATCGCAGCTCCCACAAGTATCAGGTAACTGAGGGAAGAACTGATGGATAGGGGAAGGGGGTGGGGTGAGAGAGAAGCATTGTAAAACAAAGGCTAAGACCAGACTATTTGGAAGAGGTGGGGAAGGGAAGACACGCTATCCACCCTGTGTCACATCTGCAGACGCACTAATCTGCCAATGAGCTCGCTAGCACTCCAGTAATAATAATCATAAGCATAAGCTAACTGAAGTGACTCCATGGGTTGGAAAGATGCCAGCTATTACATCTAAGCCACTTTATCTTCAAATCCTAACGTGAGAACAAGAGCCATTAAAACATCATCTCCTTCCCCAGCTCTGCTCTGAGATATTATTATCCAGGCTGTATCTTTCAAAATTGCCATTTAGACAGCTATATCCAAACTTACAGGATGGCTCAAAACCAAAAAAAAACCCAAAAAACCCAAAAAAACCCCCACCACCCACCACAACCCCCCCACCACCCTCCAAAAACAAAAAGCTGAGGAAAAAATAAGAAAAAAATATGACTTGAAAATAGGAAGTATAATAACAACTATAAATGAGGTAATAAATGTAACTGGTGAGAAGAACAATAATAGAACAAATAAAAACTCTCTCTGGAGGGTTTTGATACTTTGACATGGAAGCTGTGTATCATAAGGTTTATTTCATCTTAATTGTATCTGCGCTCAGTCACAATCTGCTCATTTGTGGTCTGCAGCACTTAACACCTTTTCTGTAACAGAAACCAAAGTGCAGTTCAGAGAGTAAGCTGCTACAAGGTGCAAGTGTAAGGCAGACCTCAAATTCCTTAAGAGGAGAGAAAAAAAAAAAAAAAAAAAGAAAAAAAAAGAAAAAGAGTCGAAGCAGACTGCTTTCTCACGACTGGACACAGCATGCAGCCTCTGAATGAAAACCTAGTTTGTGATGGACACCAGCTTGGAATATAGCCTAAATATGTTTCATATTCAAAGCAGACTAGGATTCCATTTCGTTCACTGATAACTGTGGGAAAATGCTTCAAAAAGTAAGCAAAGCTGGGCAAGCCGAGACATGCACCCAAACTTCTATGCAGAGGCTCCATTGGCCGAAACCATTTTTGGTTAATAGTTCATGCAAGTTACATGTTATTTGTTACTATTCTAGACCAAATCTGTCAGCTTGAAAGAAACTCTGAAAATAAAATAAAACACGACATGATCATTTAACACTGTTTAAAGCAGATTTAAGAAGTCCTGTAAGGTCAGGGGTAAAAAAGAACCCAAACAAAACCAGAATAAAACTCCATATTACAGATATAGATTGCTCTATCTTGAGTACTTCCTCACTGGTTTAATTACCAACATTGAGAAGCAAAAGCACAACATGTTACTGCACGCTTGAAAAAAATATTATGATCTAGAGAATGAATTATGGCAACTAGCACTACTTCCAATAAAGTTAAGGATGTTTTCCTTTCGGACTTGCATAATTGTTTTGGAAGATATTTTGTCTAAACTCATAGCAACAGTTCCCGGTTGGTTCTCAGGACTGTTTACCAACACACCTAGCCCTTAAGGAAAGGAAAGGCTGAATCCTAGCTTTAAGTGCTACTGTTGCTAGATACTTGCATGATCACTTTCCAACACCATACAGGAGTTTGTTTAAAGAGACGAGAAGCTTCTGCTTAACTGGATGGAAACAAAAATGCAGGGGGAACAGACTTACCCTAGCAATTCCCTTGTTTCTATGTGCCCCCTCTCACCTCATCTGAATATTTTAAATGAAGAGTCCCTGTCCTCAAAAGGGATGATACAAAGAATGGCAGTTTAATCTCTTGGCTCTGTCCCTCTCAGCACGGGGCAAAGAAAGGACAAGACTTTCTGTTCAAGATGGGACACCTCTAAACAAAAGACACACAGACACCCACAGCCCCACAACAACAGTAAGCAAGCCCCCCCTCAACAATCTGACTACTGCATACCTCTAGCCAATCCCCCCCCACTCATCAAAAATGCAGTTCTGCGCAAAGACTGCACTGTTGAGACTTCTTTAACAGTGCACATCATCCCCACTCTATAGATCAGCAATTCAGATATCTCAGGAATGACTACTTACAGTGTGGAGGTTTAAATTTTCCCATGCTCATAGATGACCTCTGCCCATCTTTGAGTAAATATATATATATATATATCCAGACACAAGAATCCCACATTATGCACCTTATTCCATCAAAGCAATGACCTAGGCAACAAAGCAGCAGTGAACTTTCCACAGTCACACCCAATTAGCCACTGTAAACCTGAGCTTGACCAGAAGGCAAGGATTCTGGCTCAAGAGGAAAGGCAGCTTGAAAGGAACAGCAAGCCTGCAGAACATCCACAGCCTGATCAGCCCACGCGACTGGAAGGTAGCATGGTCAAATTTAAGCAAAACTCCTTTGAGTTAAGCTATGAGAGTATGGAAATGGTTAGATTCATATTCAAAAAAACCCCAAGAAAGCACCAACATGCAAGGGCTATTTTCCTCAATGACAAGACACCATGATTTAATCTTGATCCACTGATAATACAGAAGGCTGTGAAGACCCTGAAATCCATCAGAAACTGTCCCTTTTAAGGGGGGTAATGGTTATTTAAATGAAATAGTAGCAGCTCTCAGCTTGATTACCTTCTTCCCTCCTTTCATCCAGACATCCACTCAAAAGAGGTGTTTTTGTACTTTGGCTTCTAAAAGCATTCTGCAAGTCAGTGGGACAGAGCAAGATTAAAACATCAGGCTCATTAGTGAAAGGACTGCCTCCTTTTTGAAAGAGGTTGCAACTAGTCCAACTTCTTTCCCTCCTATCCTTGTGGTTAAACCATGCAAGAGCTTTGCTGAGCATGTGAAACCATGACTAGACAAACGCAGTGGGAAGTTTGCATTCTGAATGCTGCGCCTGTTCCTCCTCTGCCAAACAAGGGGAGCAGGTTAAGCCTGGCAATATTCTCCTCACACTCTGCCAGCCATGCACAGCTGTGAAGACCAGTTTGAGAATGGTGCTCACACCCTGCCTGTGTCCTAGGGAAGAAGGCTAGAAGGCTGGCATGCTGTCACAGCAGGCCAATCCAAATTGCCAAGAGCTCCAGCAATCCACCTTTCCTTCAGCTGAAAGGGGGTGAGATAGGGAAGAAGGAAACTGAGGCTTATTTCGAAGTGCCCAAGGGCCAGGGAGGAGGGCATCTCTGAGCAGAGCCAAGGCTAGTCACAAAACCACTCCCTCTAAACGTCAGCACTACTCTCACTTGGGTACCCCTGTTGCCACATGACAAATGATGATGACGCTGTACAGATGCATCAACATCATGCCATGGTCAGCTGGTCAACCTGGACAACAGAACATTACTTCAAAGGAGTTGAAGACAACTGGTTCCTCAGCTGCCAGAGGAGATATGGATGTATTTGGGGAAAGGAAAGAAACAACCTAACCCTCTTAACCCTTTGTCAAATGCAACATCATCAGAAGCTCTTCTTTGGGCCAGCCTACATAAGGATAATGCAACACCCTGTAAAGCTGTTACTCTCTCGACCCTGCATATATAAACAAAGCCTAAGCTGTAACCATCTCATGCCTCAGAGTCCATGGCCAAGAGCTAGGCTGAACCTAAAATAGGCAGCCCAGCCAGGAGCCTCATCAGAATATGCCCACATAAAAACAGCACGCTGTTCTTTTCATCTTCATTTTGAGTAGTTTCTTCATTGCTGTTAATGCCAGTAAACACTTCATTGCCCCATAAAGGAGAAGACATGAAAACAAATTTAACTTTATTAGCAGCTTCCAGGAGAGACTTTCCCCCCCATTCTGCCTTGGCACAAGCCAAGCCAGTAACCAAAGTCAAGACCTTCTCTGCAATGCAACTGCCACCCTCCTGCCAAATGATGAAGAACACAAAAGTACCGCTATCCAAACTATGCATACGCTTAAGCATCCAGTAAACCAGGCTGATCTCTGATCTGGCAAGCATGCTGGAATAATGAGTATCCTGTGAATACATAATGTGCTGAAGTTGCCATTGTGTGAAGCAAGTCCATGGTTTGTCTGGGAGCCGAGCAATGCTGAGTCTACTGCTGCTTCCTGTTGCTTGTCCTGTATTAGCATTATTTTTGGATAGGCCCCATTATGTTCTGTAATCCTCACTGCAGTCAGTATGGCCACGCTATTGTTCTTGGTTAATATTAGCAGTCAATGCCTCTGTCTGGGTGGCCGGACTACAATGTATTCCAATCATAAAACTAGCACACATTAACCAAACAATGTACTGGGATAGAGCGCGGAGACTTGGGGTCCTCCCTCCTCCCCTCCTTTAAAAAAAAAAAAAAAAAAAAAGAAAAAAGAAGAAAAAAAAAGAAAAAAAAAGAAAAAGAAAATAAAAGAAAAAAGTATAGCATCTCTCTCCTTT